AGTGGATTAAACCAAACTAACTAGGAATACATTTGAAAGTGAATACTTACTTGCAACATTGAAAGGTTCGTTATAAAACCTTATTAATAAGTTTACTTTCATGTCAAATCTTTCCATTCAGATTATAAGGATGAAAGTGTAGTTAAGGCTAATACAGAGGCGATGATTTTGAAAACATTACACCCCTTAATATTTGTGACTTTATTGCAATGTTATAAATATATAAGTTTTTAAACATATTTTGATTTATAAAGAATTAATTGACAGTATTTTTACGGAAGATTCATTGAATGTCATCTGCATTTTAATCCCACTTATATTAGTTATGCAAAAACGCTAATTTATTCAGTGTTCATATAAAATTTATATATTTAAAATTTAAATACTGTACTCGTTGGGAATCACTTCAGGAATAAAGACTGAAGGTTTTTATTATAATTTTACTCAAGATCTCAAGGAATTTATTTCTCTTTATAATAGCTTTAAAATAAATACAATCACAAGTCTTAAGTAATAATGATTATTAAATAATCAATAAATAGTATAGACTAATTTTTCAAAGCAACGTATTTGATTTTATATGACAAATTGAGTAATCAATTGTTTTCAATGTTTCAACATATTTTATGTTTTTCATTAATAAGAGATAAGTGAATTGAAAATGTACCTGTTTAAATGATTATATTTTGCAATTCGTAGAAATTAGTTTATCAAATAAAATAAGTGAATTAGTGATAAAATACTTAACAAAGAGTTGATGATTAAACAATAATTTTTTACGAATTGTAATTTTATTAAATAAGCATTTACTTAATTGGTTATTTAATTTACATAAATGTATAATAAATGTATTTGTCTATTTATCTATCTTGTCTATATTTATTGTCAATAATTTATATTTTTAACTTGGTATAAGTTATAAAACCAAATGAAATGTTTAGACTATTGATTATAATAAAAATTATTAATCAAAATATTTTATTTAATAAAAATTAAGACTTAAAATAAATACATAATTAATGCACAGTATTACTAATAAGAAAAATATATTAATAAAACATAAGTTATTGTATTATTAATACGACATATGATTTCCGACATATGAATGGACTTATAAAAAACATTATGTTTAATAAATCCACCAAAATAAAACATGCATGTGAATCATTTTTGTAATGATTTTAAATAATTTTCAAAACATATACAATTGGTAATATATCAAAATAAATAAAAGCCAACAAATTTAATGGAATAAAATAATTTTATTTATGTATAATTGAATGCAATTCTTATAAAACAAAGATCTTAAACATAATTTAAAACAAATTTATGAAATATACAGCAAATGCGGGTTGTTTTTTGGTAAGTGGAGGGTGTGTGCAATCACTTGAAGTGATGTACAGGGACAGTTTGGGCACACTTGGCCCTAGCGGGGTCGGGGTTCTTCTGGCACTCGTTATATCCATTCAATTTGCCGGGAAAACAGCACTCCTCGGGCTTATTCTTGTCGGTGTGTTTGCAGTCCTCGTTTCCGCCGCAGAATCGGTGGAAGTTTTCCTGACCATAGACTGCGCCCACAATCAACAAAACCAAAACACTCAATACGATCACTGATCTCATCCTTTGGGACAGAATTAGAGACAAATATTGTGTTAGTTTTATACTAGTTGTCAGTTAGACTCAATGGTTAACTCACTTAACGTTTTGTTGAGTAATAAAACACTGAATGGATGAATGGATAGACAGAGACACGAAATAAAACTCATTTCGAGTCCGCTTTATATAAAAGGACTGAATTCAAGGGCAAGAATCGGTCCAAACGTCACATTTGTATTGAAAGTTCTTGACTGACGATAACAATAAGGATATAGTTTTGAGTTTAGCTGTAATTTCATGTGATAATAGAAACTATACAATCAATTCTAACAATTTGATGACATTTAATAAGTTTTTACATTGAAATCTATTTGTTGATAACAGAATTCAAGTATATTATGTATTGTTTTCTGCCAATAAGTTATCGATACTTATTTGCTATGAATTATATCACAACTGAAAGATTTAGTTTCTGGGAAGGGATTACAAAATTAATAAATGAAATGACACAGAATAACATAACAGGATTAGTTCACTGATAAAATACTTGAACCAATATGTTTTTATGTAATTTTTCTATTAAGAAACTCTAAACTTCTAAATAAAAAAAATTTCCAATTAAAATACTGTGTAGTTTATTATTTATCACCATGTTCAGTTAAGGATACATAGTACAACAGACTTTTGTAATGAATCTTTATAATGTTTATGACATTTCTAGAGTTAACATTTGAACAAATATTTTCATATGATTTTTAAAAAATATTTATTTTTAGTTGTAATTGTATAGTATTATTACAATTATTCATGTTTTTAGAAATTTAAACAGTAATGTTTATAAGGTATTGAAATGTTGCAAAACTTGCAAGTATAATGTAATTATTAATTATAAATTCTTTACAATATGATGTAAAACAGATTTTAAAAAATTATTGCATTACAAATAAATTATTTTTTCCCAAAATATTTGTTACATGAACTGCTATTTTTCTACATAAAACATAATTTTTTATATTTTAATCGTTTGTATATAAAAATGAATTTGATAATTATTTTGTTTTTAGTTTATATTTCAAATATTAAAAGTAAAGAATTTANATCACATGAATCCTGTTTTGTTATATTATTTTGTGTGTCCGTTATCTTCATGATAGGCGACGATAAGTATTCACACTCTTCTAAGTGCTCGACGTATGACTCCTTTACGGCTAAAACAAACTTTTCATTATAACTAATTTGCATTTTATTCAGTTTATAGTCAACTCATACATTGTGTCGGTAGCAATGAGCTTGAATATCGTTCAATGATGAGGTGCCTATCTAATAATCCGGGTGTATATGTCAAATAAGCGCAGTCCATACAATCAGCACTGTATCGGCTCTTGAAAATCTCCACCAGTTTTTCGGTATTATATTTAAAGAAAAGTTTTGACACAACTTGAGGATCGATTTTGGCCAAAATCATAAGTTTGGGTCCAATTTGTTGAGTTATGCCGTCCACTGAACAGCACGCCTCGGGATATTCATTATGCCCCTCCAGTACCTCTAGAAATGATAATCCAGATAACGAATTGACACTTTTCTCTATATATCCGACTGAAACCAATTCAAGATCTCCTATAAAAGATGGAAAACATAAATGTATTAATTAAAACCAAATCAAAGGCTTTAAATGTCAATACCATTACATCGCGACTCATTGATGAAGACTTTGTGGATAATTGCCTCCACGGGAGTGGTCTTGTTGTGGAAGTATATGTCATACTTGAGTTTCTGGGAGTATGTCCTCTCATATGAACACAACTGTGGATAATAGAGATTCTGTGCATTCATTTCGATTCTGTCGATTAGGTCTGAATCACAACTTAATGAAAATGATTGACTCGTATTCGTTGCTATGTTTGTGGAGATTGTTATCACATTTTAATTTATAAATTAATCAGTAATAATAAAAAATATAATTCAATTTTAGAAACTGTATATACCTTGAGCATTAGGTGACCAATCTTTAACACTATTAAATCTAGCATAAGATTGATCTGAAATGAAATTAAGATTAATGTAAAATAATTATTTTCTGGAAGTTATTGAATAATAAATTCTTTACTTTTAATATTTGAAATATAAACTAAAAACAAAATAATTATCAAATTCATTTTTATATACAAACGATTAAAATATAAAAAATTATGTTTTATGTAGAAAAATAGCAGTTCATGTAACAAATATTTTGGGAAAAAATAATTTATTTGTAATGCAATAATTTTTTAAAATCTGTTTTACATCATATTGTAAAGAATTTATAATTAATAATTACATTATACTTGCAAGTTTTGCAACATTTCAATACCTTATTAACATTATAAACATTACTGTTTAAATTTCTAAAAACATGAATAGTTGTAATAATACTATACAATTACAACTAAAAATAAATATTTTTTAAAAATCATATGAAAATATTTGTTCAAATGTTAACTCTAGAAATGTCATCAACATTATAAAGATTCATTACACAAGTCTGTTGTACTATGTATCCTTAACTGAACATGGTGATAAATAATAAACTACACAGTATTTTAATTGGAAATTTTTTAAATTAGAAGTTTAGAGTTTCTTAATAGAAAGATTACATAAAAAACATATTGGTTCAAGTATTTTATCAGTTAACTAATCCTGTTATGTTATTCTGTGTCATTTCATTTATTAATTTTGTAATCCCTTCCCAGAAACTAAATCTTTCAGTTGTGATATAATTCATAGCAAATAAGTATCGATAACTTATTGGCAGAAAA